CGGCCGACGGCGAGAAGGTGAAGGACGAGAAGGACGAAAACATCTTTGGCGGGTCGAGGCTGTCACGCGTAAGTTTAGCTAACGGACCATGTAGTTCTTTCCCCTTGTACACAGCAACTGCTCGACAGCTACGAACCGTCAGACTCTCCAGTGGCTCCTTGCAATCGTTGTGGTGTAGTTTCATCGAAAAAGCTAAGCAACACTACAACTTTTTGGATTTCTGAATTTCCGATGCTGCGGCATTGGACATAAGGCCTTTAAAACAATCGATGAGGCGATCCCACCTGCAAGACACGCGGCGCTGCTCACCAATACAACCCAGGAGTAGGTCCATCACCGAGTTTGTAGTGCGTCTCATTGGGGCCAAGATGACTAGACGACCGAAGACTAAAACCTTTCGCCTTGAGTTGGATTCGCCAATCACGCTCGGGCTGGACACGACCACCCATACAGTTCGCATGTTGCTTAAGGATATGCAATCGTTGTGGTAGTTTCACAGAGAATTTCGATCGATAAATGTTCTTTCCAGTGGCCATGCTGAAGAATACGTCCGAGAACATGTGAGGCCCAGTCGCAAGCCAGATATTAGCCACTCGTTTTTCGATGCGATCAACGGTCTCATCGATGACACGCCTGAGGAAGCCATGCTGCGGTGCAGAGAAGAACAAGTGCTGAACAATATTTCCGTTCCGATCATAAAAGAGTGCCAAAGAATCGTTTGCCAGTATTAGTTCGTCCTTAATAATGTTGTGGTCGAGCCCAGTGTCCAAGTCTAAATATAAACCACCGTGATGGTACAGCATGCAATACCTCAACAAATCGCTTTTTGCAGCCCCAGACTGCAGTAGACGGCACATTAAACAACACCCCCCACCCCGGCCGCGGGATCCAGAACGGCAGCTCGCCTCCGATCAGAGAGGGGGGGGCGACAGCGCCAGCGTGGAGGGGAGAGCGCAGCAGCAGCGGGGAGGGGAGAGCGCAGCAGCAGCGGGGAGGGGAGAGCGCAGCAGCAGCGGGGAGGGGAGGGCGGGGGAGAGAGAGCGCGGGGGGAGCGGAGGGCACCTTCTTGGCCAGTGCGTTTGTGCCGCCCATCTCCTGCTCCAGCTTCGCCTGGCGCGGGAGGGAGGGAGGAGAAGGGGGGGGGGGGGGTGAGGATGGCGGCGAGGGTGCAATCGGGGCCGAAGGGCGGAGGGCGGCAGATGGAAGTGTGGAGTGTGCAGGGCGAGGGTGAGGTGAGGGAGGAGAGGAGGTCACCGCCGTTGATGCGAGGCGGTGCGCGACGCGCAAGAGAGGACACGTTGTGCGCGGTCTGTTCCTCGCGCTCGGGCGTCGCGCGCGCGTGTGTTGCGCTGTGTGTGCGTGGGCTGTCGAGCGCCCACCGTGGCCGCCTTGCCCTGCTCCGCGCTGATGGCGCCGAGCGCCTCGCCGTGGTGAGCCTCGATGCGGGCAATGTTGGCGCGGATCGTGCACATCGCTGCCTTCACCTCATTCACCTCCTGGAAGAAGACTGCCATGAAGCCGCTCGCGCCGCCCGCTTGCTGCCGCGACGGCGCGCCCATCTCGATGTCGCTGGTGCTGCAACCACCCTTCAGCTCGTCCAGTCGGTCTGCGAACAGAGATGTGGCGAGCGGTGAGGGGATAGAGACGACGCGAGCGCTGCAGCGAGGCACACACACCGACCATGGCCCTATCGGCGGCGCTCAAGCCGCACCGACCTTGCTTCTAAAAGAATTTTAAACTCGAAAGAAGAATTCTACGAGCGCCTCTCACAGCAGACTGGCACGAACTAGCACCACAAAAGGCACAGCAGACAACGGCCCCTTATGGGCCGTCGAAGAGGCCGTCATACTCCTCCGGCCTCGCCCCCCCTTCCCAACCCTCCCCTGGCTCAGGCTCCTCATCCTCGCGGCGCGCAGTGCGCACCCCGCCCCGCGAAGACGAACCCTTCCGCCGGCGTGCCTCGCGGGACTGCCGCCCGCTGCCGCCGCCCTTCCCCCCCTCCGCTGCCCGCGCCGCCTTCTCCGCCGCCCGCGCGGCCGCCTTCGCCTCCTCCGCCGCTAACAGCGCCTCCCTCCGCGTGACCCCTATGGGCCCCTTGCGCATCCAGGAGAGGTCGCGTGAGCGACCTATCCAGGGGTTACTCGGATACGGCGCAACGTAGCCGCTGCGCAGCTCCGAGTAGTCGCCAACGCCCCCCCCCAAATAGCCCTCCAAGCAAGCATCGCAGGGAGAAGGTGAAGGACGAGAAGGACGAAAACATCTTTGGCGGGTCGAGGCTGTCACGCGTAAGTTTAGCTAACGGACCATGTAGTTCTTTCCCCTTGTACACAGCAACTGCTCGACAGCTACGAACCGTCAGACTCTCCAGTGGCTCCTTGCAATCGTTGTGGTGTAGTTTCATCGAAAAAGCTAAGCAACACTACAACTTTTTGGATTTCTGAATTTCCGATGCTGCGGCATTGGACATAAGGCCTTTAAAACAATCGATGAGGCGATCCCACCTGCAAGACACGCGGCGCTGCTCACCAATACAACCCAGGAGTAGGTCCATCACCGAGTTTGTAGTGCGTCATTGGGGCCAAGATGACTAGACGACCGAAGACTAAAACCTTTCGCCTTGAGTTGGATTCGCCAATCACGCTCGGGCTGGACACGACCACCCATACAGTTCGCATGTTGCTTAAGGATATGCAATCGTTGTGGTAGTTTCACAGAGAATTTCGATCGATAAATGTTCTTTCCAGTGGCCATGCTGAAGAATACGTCCGAGAACATGTGAGGCCCAGTCGCAAGCCAGATATTAGCCACTCGTTTTTCGATGCGATCAACGGTCTCATCGATGACACGCCTGAGGAAGCCATGCTGCGGTGCAGAGAAGAACAAGTGCTGAACAATATTTCCGTTCCGATCATAAAAGAGTGCCAAAGAATCGTTTGCCAGTATTAGTTCGTCCTTAATAATGTTGTGGTCGAGCCCAGTGTCCAAGTCTAAATATAAACCACCGTGATGGTACAGCATGCAATACCTCAACAAATCGCTTTTTGCAGCTCCGATCTTCAGACTTTGGAACGCTTTCACGACCTTGGGCTCAAAATTCTCCTTGAGGAATTCCAAGCTCTTACCATTCTCGTCTGTCAACAGGCTGTATTCCCAACCTTTGTTTTGCTTCAGCAGGTTCATGATGTTCTTCACGACGATCGATTGCGAGTCGGGTGTGTGCTTCGAAGTCTGGTGAATCGTCCATGGTATTGCGTAACCCGCTATTGTGGTGGAAGTTGTTGTCGGTGACGAAGTAGAAGTCGCCGAAGTGTACAACAGGGATGTATTGACTGCAGCCGCAGGACGTGATGAGAGTGTCGGGTCCATCGCAGGTTCATCCAGGAACGCGGAGGTTTCTGGCCAAACGCAACAGCAGACCTGGCGGCTTGGGTGCTGGACGCCGGCCGTGCAGTCAGCGAATCGACGAGAGGAGGCCGTGTGCTCCTCGGGCCTGATGGTGAGGTTGAGACGGTGGTCGACGACCAGGCGGTGCGCCTCGGCCGACGGCGAGAAGGACGAGAAGGACGAAAACATCTCTGGCCGGGTCGAGGCTGTCACGTGCGCAAGTTTAGCAACGTGACGACATCGATAACGCACGGGCCTGCAACTTCCAGGCAGCGTAAATTCTTCTTGTATAAATTCTTCTTGTATTATTATCGTCGAGTAGTGCAGGTACTCCGTGGGGGCAGTGTGTATTCTTGTAACATGTGCGTATTCTCGTGTCACTGGCTCCGAGTAGAAAAAGAAAGAAAACGTGTTCTCCGAGTAGAGGGGGCGTCCTGCAGTTAAGGGGAAACCCGGTACGCGCGGGGCCAACCCTCGGAGACCCGTGTTTACTTTACGGCCCTTTCCCTGCGAATGCGCACCCCCCCCCCTAGCTAGGGGTCAGGGCTCTCTAGCCCGTAGCCCGATGCCGATCATCCGGCTCGCTGGGTGCGCTTCTTAGCTCCCCGGCCCTGGATGTGAGGTTGGAGGCTAGGACGCAAGCGTCCGTCGCCCTTTTCAAACTCGGGGCCCACTCCGCTACGCTCCGACCCGAATTTGGTTTTGGAGGGCCATGAAATTTAAGGTGTTGCTGCGCAAAAGGGGCGGGGCGCGGGCGCGCGCAGCCCGCCGAGAGCTCTTTTTGGACACCAGACCTTTCGATGGTTCATGCTTTCTATGTCTATCTATCATGCTTCATGACACGACACGCGGTGGTGGGAGCTGGTGGAGCTGTCAGGTGTCAGCTGATCGATATCCAAGCGGGTGGGGAGTGGGGGGCATGGCTGGGCATGCAGGTCCGCCAGTCGGCCCGGCCTCTGACGTGGTGCTGCCGCTGCATTCGCTGAAGAAGAGAGGTGCGACGGCTTGATTTGGAGGCACTGGAGGCGAGGGTGGGGAAGGGAAGGTTGGGCCGGGCCGTGAGGGGCTGATGGCGCTGGCCAGCGCGGGGTGTGAGATGCCGTCGTCGTCGTATACTGCTGGCCCTCGCCCTCAGTTGCCAGGGCTGTGGGCTGCAGAATTGGCGTCTGTGGCGTCTACGCAGCCTCTGCAGCGTGATGGCTGGCGGGACTGCGAGGCCGGCGGCAGCGGAAGGAGAGGCTGGGCACGAGCCAGGAACAGGCTGGCCAGGTCCGCAGGTGGCTGCGCTCGGGCGAGGCGCGCGCGCACATGGCAGGCCGAGCAGGCTCGGCATACATGGTGAACCCCCGATGTGGCGATGGCGGTCCCGCTTTTCCGCGATCATTTTTTCGTCCGTTCAATCGAAGGAATGCACACACATACACATACAGAATGACATAACACCTCCACGTAGACGTCAAAACGGGCGTATTTGAGCACGCTCCTGAACACGCAGCACCGCTCTCACACCCACGCGCTGGGCCTTGCACTGGGGTGGGGCTCCTGTCGTCAGACGTGGAGACGCGAGGGTTGCCCCCCCTTGCCCCACCACCTCGTGTGTGTGGAGAAGTTTACCTTACCTTACCTTACATGCACACTGCCGCCAGCGTGTGTGAGCGAGAAGAGACTGGAGACAGACTCAAACCTTCCAGAAAGAAGAACTGTTCGGCCTGCTATCACGGAGCGCTATCACGGTGCCGGGGCTCGTGCTCGCAGATCCGCTCGCAGCTCCCACGCCCGCCACATCGCCGTCGCCGTCCCTGTCCGTCGCCGTCGTCCGGACCTGTCCATCGCCGTGGCCGGCCTTGTCCGACAAGACTTCCACCGCACGCACGGACGCATCGATGACGTCTTCCACCGCTCCGGTCACTTTGCCGACGACACCGCCAGCCCGCCGGAATTTCGCGCCGTCTCCAACCCGGGCGGAGTCTCCAAGCCGCTGCTTGCTGCTGGCGCTCGTGGAAGTCTTGTCGCGTATCTGCCGGTACGCGAGCGCGACGCAGACGGCCTGCTCCATGGGTGAGGAGAAGAGCGGGATCGCGATGTCGTTGTAGATGCCGCCACGCTCGAGGTCCTCGGGCGTCGTATACCTCAGGTGGTCGAAGGTGCACCTAGCGCGCCCCTCGCGCTGCTCGTGCACCATGACCTGCAGCGAGAGGCAACGAGCGTCAGAGCTGGGCCCTCGGGAGGCGGCAGAGGGCTCAGTGCGGTGCAGAGCGCGCCAGGGAGATCCCGCGCAGCCGGGCCTCGCGGATCTCGTTGGCGAGAGCGTCGGCGCCCGCGCGGTTGGCGTCGAAGGTTCTCGGTGTGAGGTAGAGCAGCATGTGCGTCGCATCGCTCAGGCTGTCCGCGCGCTCGATCGAGCAGTGGATGCGCAGGTCCGAAGGCTTTAGCTCGGTCCTCGCGGCAAATCCACGCCAAGCGCTCTGGATCCTGACGCTCGCCCCGACAGCTCCAAAGTTGCGCGCCAGCTTCACGTCGGACAACCGCTGTTCGACGTGAGGGACGTCGGTGGAGGTGGTGCGGTCCCCGCCTCGCCAGCCGCCGCCGAGGATCGCGAGGCGGCCACGTCGCTCGCCCTCCTTCCGCTCGGTCGAGCGGTCGAGGGGCGCGGGGACGGCGGCGGCAACGATCCCATCTAGAATGCGGTTGGCGCCCTGGTTGTTGTCGCGGCTGGCAAAGATGCGCACCGGGTGAGAGACTGAGATTGTCTCCTCGGTGAGCGAGTTTGGCAGGTAGAGCGCGTTGAGACTCCATTGATCCACGCCCCGCCCAAACGTGTGTAGCAGGGACGCGATCTGTAGCAACGAGACTCGGTTCAGGTCGCTTAGGCGATGCCAGCGCACGAGCGGCCGTTTGGGGTCAAAGACGAGCTCGCGCAGCTCATCTGGGCACTCCTGCCGCAGCACCTCGAGCCGGTCGCCGCCCTTGGTCTCGGCGTGCTCGTGGACAAGGATGACGGGCTTGCTGCTTGTCACTGCCGCTCGGACCTCGCGCAGGCAATTGCGCGATAGGAAGTAGCCCTTGCTAAGGAAGAGCAGCACGACCTGCGATCTGGCGACGTACTCCTCCAAGCGGTCGATGTTTTCAAGGTCATCGACGTCGCGAAAGACGCGCACATGGGCGGGCAGAAAGCCCGAGAGTTGCTGCTTGATCATCGCAACCTGGTCCTGCCCAGACAGCCACGTGTGGCTCAGGAAGAGGTGGAACTCGTCCGCGCCCACTGGGGCGATGTCGGGAGGCAAGTGTGTCCGGCGGCACAGGAACTGCTGATTTGGCCTGTGCCGCTGCCGCTGCAGCCGCCGCACGACATAGGCGGCGCAGCAGCAACCCAGGAGGAGGACGGTCCCCACGACGCTGCACACGACGACAATTAGGGTCGTCGAGTCGTCGTTCGACGAGCACTCCTCCGTGGTCGAGGCGGGCAGCGCCCAGCGGCCAGTGGCTGGCACATTCACCCCAGCGGGCTCGCCCGGAGCCGGCCTTCGCAGGCCCGCGCGCGGCAGGTCGCAGTCGCTGGCGTCATCCCATCGCCACGTGGTCCTCCTCACCGGAGGGTCCGACGAGTCGCAGTCGCTCGTCTCGGAGAGCATGTCTGCTCGGTCGCACCGCCGGGAGCACTGGAAGACAAAGTGGACCGTCGCGACGGCCGAAGTGCTCACGCCGTCAGAGACCGAGAAGGAGAATGAGTCGGGTCCGCACACCTCGGTCTGTATGCTGACCTGGGCCGACTCCACCAGCGGGGGAGACACCGGCACGCGGCATGCGGTCCGGCAAGTCCCCCTGCTCCAAATCGTCAGGTTGGCGCTGGTGTCGCAATCGTCGACGTCGTCGCACCAGGCGCACGTCCCGTTGGGCGGGGAGACGACGCTGCAAAAGAGAAGAGAGCCAGTGATCGGGCTGGACGGGCACGGTTGAGCCTCAGAGCAGGGGATCTCTCCGCCCGCGACGGGCGCCGCGGCCATCGGGATCACTCGCCCAATCCCAATCTCCTCTCCGACGTTGACAGGTGCGTCAAACAGCGTCGCGTGAGTCGGCAGCGTGTGGATCTTGAACGTGAGCGTGTCCGACCTGTCAACGTCTCGCGCCTTCATCGAGTAGAAGCTCGCGCCCACGAGACCTTTCAGCGGGAAAGCGACCGCGTCGTCAACGGGCACTCCGACCGCCTTGGGCGCGTCATTGACGGCGACGATCGAGATGGAGACGAGCTCCGACTCCGTCGTGCGGAAAGGATCGCCGGGACAGTCCGTCGCAACGTAGCGGAAGCTGTCCTCGCCGACGGCATTGTCGTGCGGACGGTACACGACCGCACGAGCCGTCGTGCGGATTGCGGCGGGCTGCAGCGCCTCCGAGCCGAAAACTTCGACATAATCGATGTAGTTCCTAGGATTGGGAAGGGGGATGAGGATAGTGGCTATCAGAGGGGCGGGGAATGGGCGGGCGACTCGCGCCAGTCGTCAATGCCGGTCTCTGCGCTGGTGTCGACCGCGATCCGCAGGACCGAGATGGGGAAATGGGTTCGACAGATTGAGGGCGCCCAGAGGTGGTAGGTGCGCATGCTAGTGTACTTCGTCGCAACCTCGCGCTGCGGCTTGCCCGAGTATACCTCCACCCACGAGCCGTCCGGACTCTGGGCCAGGATCTTTACGACCTGTCCCATCCCTCGCGGGGAGCCAATCTCGAGCCGGACGACGTAGACGGGCCGTGCGATCGCCACGTCGATGTACTCGGTGAACGGCGGGTAAAAGTCTCGCTGCCGGTGGTCGATGAGGAACTGCGCGCCGAAGGCGACCGACGTATCGGGGTCGCTCAAATTCCCGTCGACCAGCCCCTGCTTGAGCGGGCTCCACACGCCAGCGGCTAGAGGGACAATCTGAGCCCGGGGCACCCCGCGCTTAGAGATCGGCTCGTCAGGAGAGGATAGACCCTCAACCAACTTGCACCCGCCGGGGTAGGCGGAGACGCCCTCGTCAACCTTGACGCTAGGGTCGATGAGGCACCGGCGCAGTACGCCCGCGTCGCGCTTGTACATGGGCACGTAGTCGATGTCGACCATCCCCTTCACCTCGTCCGAGCTTCTCACGTACGCCGCCGCCTTGATGCCGTTCACCTCGTGGTAGGCAAGCACGCCGGGCGGGATCGGGCGCGACGCGTCCGATACCCACTCGCCGCTCGTGGAGCACTCGCCGTAGGTCCCGCAGTCGGGCTTGCCAATGACTGCGAGTGGGTGGTAGTCGACGCTCGGAGGTTTGCCCCAGAAGGAGCTCGAGCTCATGACCGCGGAGATGTACTGCCCAAACACGGAGTCGCCGACGTTGAAGGTCGAGTAGACCTGCGTGATCGGAGGGCCATCCTGCGCCGCGCCGCTAGTCTCGTTGTAGGGGTACAGGTCGCCTAACCTAGGGAGCTGCGTGATCGCGAGCTCGAGTGGCTGGCCGTCCTCGACGTCGTTGGGCGTCAGCCGAATGACCAGGTCGCCAGAGTCTTCGGAGATGCGCTTCGCAATCGGGGCGATGGTCGGCGTGTCGTTGTCCGATTCGACCTCCACGCGGACGGTCGTGCTCTCCTCGGAGAGGACGCCCCCGGCCGCGAGGAGCGAATACGTGAAGGTATCGACGCCGACGAAATGGTCTGCTGGCTTGTAGCTGACGTAGCGCCCCACCGTGTCGACTGTCTGCTGCGACTCGCTGATCGCGATGCCCTGTTCGGAGCCGGCGAGCGAGTCGTTGGTGGCGAAGAGGGCGCCATTCGAAGGCAGGCTAGTGATTACTGGCTTGAGCTCGATGCCGGGCGCGAAGTTGGAGCTGCCCACGAGCTGCAGGCTCACCTCGCGGTCCTCGAAGGTGCGCTCGCTCGCAAAAGCGTCCCGACGCTCAGTGGTGGGCGGCAGCCGAGGCACGACGTGCACAAGGCCTTCGAAGAGCGTGCTGCCGTCGGTCGGAGCCGTGATCTGGCGCGGGCCGTTGGCAGTCTCGACGGTGACGTTTGCGCCGGGCAGCGCCGAGACGACACTCGGCGCGGAGACGGAGCTGACGTGCGTGCGAGAGCTGGGGATGCGGGACGGTGCCACCAGCAGCACGGCCGACGTGCCGCTACCGCGCGAGAATTTGCGGCCCAAGTCCTCCGCGCCAGGCGGCTTGGGGAACTGGGCGAAACGCAAATCGTACGGGTTGGCTGTCTCGTTCCCCCCAGCCCGGCCAAGGTTGGCGACAACGTCCAGGCTGGCGTCATCAAAGGTGTAGAGGAACAGGCAGTCGTCGCCTAGCAGGTCCTCGCCGGCGAGGCGCGCCCGCGCGGCGATCGACTCGTTGGAGAGAGGGCCTGTCCACAGCCGAGAGGTGTGAAGAGACGCTGCTCACAGCATTGAGGTGCACGCGTGAAGAGTTTTGCCAGCGTAGATGGCGAGGTCGTCTATCTCGCCGTCAAAGCTCATCTGCGGGTTGCCGTGCGTGAATTCGTCCAGACCCCACTTTTGAGGGTACACGTTCATCCCGATGTACATGAAGGCGTCGTCGTCTAGGAAGGCACCGCCAATGTACGCGGCGCCGTCACCGGCCGCGTCGCTACTCACCTCGACGCCGTCGACGTAGACAACGCGCCTGCCATCCGTGGCGTTCCAGCTCTGCGCATAGTGATGCCACTGCGTGGCGTCCACTACGCTGCCGACGGCCGACGGCTCGGGCGCGCTGCTGCCGAGCTGGAACCCTCCGTGAATGCCGGCGAACGGCTGCATAAAGTTGCCCTGCGGACAAGGCGTATCAGGTCGGACAGCGGCAGGGGAGGCGGGCTGGGCGGCAACTGCGGCTGTCCGACAGTGGGATTCCTGAGACTACTAGAGGAGCCGGAATCCGAGCTAGAGACCGTCAGGGTCGACCGACAGCACTGTGTGTATATGTGTTTGTGCGTGCACTCACGTCAGAGGTGCATCCAAGGCCCCAATGGATGGCCGGCCGCGACGCAGTGAGGTCGTTGAAGCGAAGCCACATCATGAAGGTGAAGCCGCTGGCCATCCGCCGCAGCTCTAAGTCATCAGGATCGAGGTAGAGCCGTCGCGTCGCGACCACCGAGCCGGGCTGGCTAAAGCTTAGCGAGTAGCCGTTTCCCGCAGACGCTGGAGAAGAAAGCCCGAGAATGGCAAGCGAGGCGAACCAGCGACGCATCTGCGCCGCTTTTCGACCTGTGGCAACCTTCGGCGCGCACCTCCGTTGAAGAGTTGAAAAGAAATCCCAGAATGGTCCCACTAGCTCAACCATTACAACCTCTTTGGCGGCGGCTACTACAACGCCGCGCGCGCACACGACATACAGCGGGACACCCCACAGTCACGCTTCCACACCGCACGCCGCGAACAGGTGGTGTCGGTCTCGCTATGGTGCTCGCACACGCATCGGCGGCGCACGTTCGCGTTGCGGCCGACCCGGATTCAGGCGCCACCGTCCGCCAGCATTTCAGATCAGAGGAGACGAGAGGGGGGAGGGGGGAGGGGAGGGAGGAGGCCGAACTGGCCATGTGTGGTCGCACGCAGTAGAGCGCTGTAGACCATGGTAGCCACGTGTCGCGTGTCGTGTGGCCAAGCGATCGGCGGGGTCAGTCAGCGAGGGCCTCGCTGCGCCGCTTCTGGAGGACCTTCATCGCCTCCAGCTCCCTAGCTGCGTCGACGGCCGATTCCGCGCTAGCGACCGAGGCCATGCTGAGCCGTCCGCTCTGCGGCTCCACACCTGTCGGGGGAGGGGGGGTGGGGGGGGCGCCTGATTCGTGTCGCTCTGCACTGGCCGTGCCACGCCGCCGCGAGCGTCGACCGGCCCGCCGCCGGCAGCCTATTGACGAGGGGGCCACACGTGGTCTCCTGTGCTTCTGTTGTGTGCTTCGACCGCCCCGCCGACCGAGGGCGGCCTTCTCTTGGCGGCGCAGCGTGTGGCCGCGGTCCGGGTCCATGTCGTAGTCCTGAGGTAAGGTGAGGTGAGGTACA